AATAAAAAAAAATAATAAATTATATAATAATAATAATAATAATTATATAATATATTTTACATCAATTATTAAAAATGATGTAAAATCAACGTTTCGAAATTTAGGCTTGCAGGTTGACCCATCTTGAAAAATTGATAATAATATGGAACAACTCCAATAAATTTATTAAATTTCACTTACATTTAATAAACATAATAATTTAAATTTAAATTTTTTAAACAATTTATTAATAAATAAAATTTTTTTAAATAAAAAATATTTTTGAAAAATAAAATTTTTTTTCTAACACACGCACGGAAAGTACATCATTTCTTACCTGTGTAGAGGGTGGAAAATATGTATTTTCCGACGAGAGGGAGGGAATGTTACTTTACCTCCCTGTGACGTCATAACGGGGAGAGAAAAGTATACTTTACCTCCCCGTGACGTCATAGCGGGGAGAGAAAAGTACTTTACCTTCCTGTCGTCCAAAATCACATGTAATTATATTTTAATAACAATGTAAAGATAAAATGTATCTTTATTTACGATCTTAAACTAAAGTCGACTAAATATATGTTTTATTGAAAATTATTAAATAATTAATCATAAATCGATGAAAAAAAATATTAATTCATATTTTAAAAATTCTTTTTGGATAATCAAAATTGATTAAAAAAGCAACTCAGAAAAAAATTGTAACTTAAATTATCCATAAAAATATTTCATTTGTAAGCACATGAAAAAGTCACATTTTTAATTTTTCCACAAGTCAATATCAGAATTTGTTTAAAAATAACATTTTTATTGCTTCTTTTTGCTCCACAAGATCATAAAAAGTAATAACTAATCATTTAACAACAATATCAGTGGCGTTTTCTTAAAAATTTATCTGAGGTACTTTTAGCGGAGAAAAATGTATTAAAGTGTTTTTTCCTTTGATTTTTAACCTAAGATTGATTTTTTTAACCTAATGTTGAATTGTTTTTGAGTTAAAAAAATTTTAAATATTTTAAAATTAAATAAAAAAAATATATAAATTGTTTCTCGATAGTAAAAAATTTCATTAATATATTTTTATGATTAAAACGATTAAATTTTTTTCATGAATTTCAAAAATGGCTCAACTCTGACAACTATAATATCAATTTTCTTCAAATCACTGTTATTTAGGACAATTCTTTTATCATTTTCTCATATAAAATTGCATCTAGTTACTACGAAAAAAAGTTCACTGAGAAAAATGGAGTTTGAAAAACTGGGAGTCAATATTGGAAAAATAGGACTCAGTCTAGTAAAAGTACATTAATTCATTTCCATCAAGCATCTTAGGGTGATGCGTATAGCGTATATAGGGCCTTAGTTCCAAATTTCACTTTAAAGAGCATTGAAAAACAGGCGAAGATTATAAGGTGCACTGCAGTGTGCTTAGTAGAGCATAGGGACTCAGTCCTCTACTTCGAAAATTTCACAATAAAGGAAGTAGTTACGCAGGCGCGTAAACTGTCAAAATAAATGTCCGACGCGACGCGAGTGTTTCCTCTTATTTACCTTCGTCAATTTTATATAAAAAAATAAACAATAACCAATCATTAAAAAAAAGAAAAATATGTTAAATGCATACTCTTTATATGTTCATATTCATTAATTCACAAGTTTTATTCTTCCCACTATTTCATACTTACATTTAACAACTAAACGCATCGAAAAATCTTAGAATCATACGGGATTGAACACCTACCTAACCATACAACTAAATCAGGGTGTCTAGCGATTCGGCAATTTAAAATTCCCGGTTTTTTCCCGAGTTTTTGAATAATTTTCCCGGATAATTACAAAGGATTTAAAAACTTATTGAAATGTTTATTAATAACATTATTTACGTACAATTAAATATTGTTTTTATTAAATTACAATGATTAAAGTTATATAAGGGTGATTCTCACAAGAAGGACAAATCATGACTTTATGGTATTTTGTTAAAAATTAATTAAATTAATTGAAACTATTAAAATTTATGACAGCCATACTATAGCATTTAATAATTATTAATCATATCACCAAAGAAAAATTCGAAAAAAGGTCATAAAACTGAAATATTTGATGAAATTTAGTGTAACGGAGGGAGTTACGGAGTGAAGTCACGGAGTGGAGTTTTAACATGATATTTATTTAATATTTCAGTAATTTGATAATTATTTATTACCTTTTCTTTATGATTTAACTAAAAGCTTTAAAATCACAACATATGACTTGTCAATTTTTAATTACGTTAATTTATTTTACTATTTTATAACAAAAACGCCGTCTGAAACAGTGCACAAATAATTTGTCCTTTTTGAGAGAATCACCCATAATAATTTCTAAAAACGTGACATAGAATATCAAAATTTCACTTATAAAAATTTCTCAACTTTATAATGGTAAAAAATTTTTTTTTAGAATAATATAATTCATGAAAAAAATTAAGTTTCAAAGATAACTTATTAAATATCTTGAAACATGTTGCCTCCAATTTTTTTTGAAATTTATGTCAAAGTAAAGCTTAAAAATTCTAATTTCATTCCCTGTAAACATTATAATGGTCAATTCAGGGGAATTTAATAAATTAATTAAATTTTACAAAGATGTCAGAGGTTGAACTGTGTAAAAATTTGAAAAAAACAAAATCCGCTCGGTACATGCATTATAACCTTCGAAATTCTTGTAAAATTTAATTAATTTCTAAAACCATGAAATGCTCATTATAATGTTAACATGGAATTAAACAAGAATATTTAAGCTTCATTTTGACATAAGTTTCAAGAAAATCGGATGCGACGTGTTTTGAGATATTGAAAAAGGTTATCTTTCAAACTTAATTTTTTTCATAAATTATATATTTAAAAAAAATTTTTTACCATTATAAAGTTGAGAAATTTTTGTTTTAAAACCACTAATAGTAAATAAAGATTGGCTTCAATAAAAATGAAAAATAATTATTTAAAAATTGCCTTACAATGTCAATTGTTTATAACATAGAGTTATTAGAATAGAGTGCGCAAGCGACCAAAATGTTTCTAAGGCACATAGAAGGAGACAGCCATACGAAAAGTAGACCCCTTTTCTTTCTTTCTCTAATAACGCATGCGCGATAATGAAACAGCTGATGCATCGAAACAACTGTTGCTTGCTTGCTAAGGGTTAAATTTTTCTTTTATTTAAGTGACAAATAAATAATTTAAAAACATTTTTAGCAGGAAAAATGGTATTTTATGTTAAGTTTACCTGCTTTAAATTTATACTCATCGAAATAAGCAGCTCAAAGTTAAAAATTGCAATTACTATAATATTATCGATACGACATCCAAACTAGAATCAAAAGTTGCGACTTAACTTCAAATAACAGCCAAATAGCTATTTTCAACAAGACTTTTTAATCCCACTCTACCCTATTTATTGTAAAATATTTATTTTACATTTAATTTTATTGACGATTTGAGCTGTGATCGTGTTATTAAATTACGCTTTGAAAAAAAATTGTAATTTTTTATATACATAATTCAAAAAATACCTTATGAATAGAAAATTCCCGGGTTTTTCCCGGTTTTTCGGGGTTGAACCAAATTCCCGGGGTTTTCCCGATTTCCCGGTTCGCTAGACACCCTGTAAATATACGCATAATTGAACCCCTTGATGCAAGAACCAGACATAGACCATAGAAATTAAATAGGCTACGTCTGGTTCTTGCATCAAGGGGTTCAATTATAAATCGCACGCTTTTACATTAAGCCTCTTAGGCCAGTCGGTGAGTGCAAAAAGTGCACATAAATGCAACCTGAAAAGTCTCAATAGTTTCTTGTAGTTTGAGGGCCCCATATAAGAGCCCCATGGTTTGCTCTCGATTTCCGGTTGCAAAAAATAGTGTAAACAATCGTCAAAGTTCGAGAAACGTAGTTCTTCGATGACCCTTGCTTTCGGTTAAATTTTAGAGGAAAAAGTTGTGATTGAAAGTTGTAGAGCTTGAAAAATACCTTTCAAATGACTGGTCATACGTTGAAAAAGGTTAATTAGTTTAGTTGCAAATGAATTTAAACCATTAAAAATAGCACTTTTTTAAAAAAAGAGAGAGAGAGAGAGAGAGAGAGAGAGAGAGAGAGAGAGAGAGAGAGAGAGAGAGAGAGAGAGAGAGAGAGAGAGAGAGAGAGAGAGAGAGAGAGAGAGAGAGAGAGAGAGAGAGAGAGATAATAACTTGTAGTTTTCGAGTAGGTTCGAAAGAACTGGTGAATGGGATAACTTGTGTTGAGTCCCAAAGTGTTCAGCTATGAAACTATAAAAATTAGTTACTATAACTAAATGAAGCAGTTAATATGACTAAAAAGTTAAAATAACTTTTTTAGTAATTATATTTACTGTAAAAGTGGTATTTTTTAATACATTTTACAGTTAGATAGTAGTTAGATAGTTAGTTAGATAGTTAGTTAGTTAGATAGTAGTTCTTTTTACTAAATTATAAAGTAGTCAAATTAACTACGTTTTTTTGTGTGTGTAAGTAATTTTGTAAAAAACATTTTTGTCCATAACTTAAAAAAAAGGTTAGAACACCTATAAAGGTTTTTCCCTAAATTTGTAGAATTTTTTAAACGCACCTTTTTAGCCCTTATTAAACATTTTTCGTCCATATTAGCCGGAGATATTAAACTTTTAAAAATCTAAAATTTTGGAAAATAAGACTTTTTTAAAAAATTTTATTAAGAAATGTAGAAATAACTTTAAAAGTCGCATAACCAACAAAAATTGTAAAGAGAGTCTTGAAGTTTTTTCTAAAAAATGTGGAAGTTACTTTTAAAGTCTTATAAATTACTTGTTGAACTTGAAAAATGACTTTGATTCGCCTATTTTTTTTAACCTAATTTGATGTAATACTAAAAAATTAAAATAAATTGATCTAAAATGTTGATTCACTGTGTGAAGACAATGAATTCATCTTTTAACTTGGCAGCGGTTTTTGAATATGTAGTATTAAAATAAGTATAATTTACCTTCAATCCACCATACTTCTTCCAGTAAGTCCAACAGGTTTGACAAAGACGACACTGCATTTGAGAAGGACCCCAAGCATACCATTGTGTGCTCTGCATTGACTGACAACTTTCGCATGATTTTCCACCTACACCCACCATTAACATGCCACTATCGCCTGTCAAATTTCCATTGCTACTGCCATTAAGAATATTTGTTGCTTTTCCGTTGCTATTATTATTACTATTTCCAAGAGAAATAACTGTTGCAGATGATGGAGCATTTGTTGAAACTGAATTTTTATTATAATTTGGAATATAAACTTGCTTTAATTTACTCTCCGCCTCAACAGCTTTAACTCGTTTCTGTTGCACGTAGCGATCAGTCGTTTTCCACATGTAATAGTACTCAATCACGTTTTTCAGTGTTTTCCACGGCAGCTAAATAAAGAAATTTAAAACAATGTAAATAAATTGTCAATTAATTAAAAAAAATCTTATAAAATGTAAACCCAAACCAATTTTAATTTTTGATTCGCAAGAAATTAAGAAATAGAATTTTACTAACGACAAAAACGTTCCATCAATGGAATGACAAAGGGTTAAATATCTTCTACTATACCCCAAGACAGGTGTCTCCTGATCGATTATATTTAAATTCGGAGGGGACCACATTAGAACGCTGTTTTTTAGCCGTTTTTCGCAAATTTTTTTGAATAAAATAAAACATTTCCACCATGTTGTTCATATATTTAACTGTAACTCATATTTTTTTAAGCGTTTATATAAAAAATCTTCCAAATTGAAAGCTATTGCATATAAAGCTGCTCCGCCGGAGTTCATGACTGCCGTGTAGTCCTGAGCCCACAAATTTTGTCCGAAAACAAAAAATCATGTTTATTCACATTTTATAAATATTTTTATTAAGTGAACTAACTTTTAAGTGAAAATATTGAAAATTGAAAAATTGACACTACTTTTAAAAAAATATTCGATTTTTTGCCTATTTTTTTGCAACTTTTTTATTTAAAAAAAGGTACTAAAAATTTTTACTTCTTTTCAAGTTTAGTTCACTTAATAATAAATTTAATAACGAACAATTTCTAATTTTTCATTTTAAAATCGGCCAATAACTTTTTGAGCTACACTGCACGGCAATTTCAAAAACCCTGTTTTGAGAAAAACGCATTTGAAAAAAAGTATCAAAAAATTGATATTTATACAAATAGTACATTGTACAACTAGTGGCGAAAGTGTGATTTTTCGAGAGTGAAGTTTGCGGTTCGAGCGTAGCGAGAGCAGCAATCACTCTCGAAAAATCCTTCTTTCACCACGAGTTGTGCACTACGTTTTCTCCAACGCCTTGCGAGGAAAGGTTTCTTCGTGAGTTTCGTATAATTTTAATTTAAAATGTTCTTATGTTTAATATAATAAAAGACGAATGTTTTGAATGGGGAAGAAGTTAGATACAAAATAAATCTCGGTCAAAGAACAAGAAAAAAGAATAAATTCATGATGTACTTTCGCCCCGCAAAAAATTACTTTCGCCACGCCAAATTTTACTTTCGCCACGCTCTTCAGAGCAGTTGAGAAACGTTCTACTTTCGCCACACTTTTCTACCAAGAAAAGTACTCTTTTCAGAGCAAGTGTTGGAGAAAAAAATTTTTTAAAGTGATTACACTTTAATCGTCTATTCCAACACTATACATATCCCTTCATCTGCTTCATAAGTAGCATGTAAGTAAATTCCTCTTTTCGTGCCTTTCTGCTCTCCTTAGTCTCAAAAGTGCTACGCCTATTCAACTAATCTACGCTAACCTAGAGCGCGCTCCGTTCATCACCAGTACAGCGAGGACTTCGAATTTTGCTCTAAAAACTTTTTTAGCCTATTTTTGAATACCTCAACTAACAATTTATGCAAAAAAGAAAAAATCGATTTTTTCAGACGTCTAATGTGGTTTCCCCCCTTAAAGAAAAACATTATGAAGTGCGCATTTTTTAAGAAACATTCGCACAATTTGTATTTAGAAAAATATAAAATCCGTGAGAATGGTGTTCAAAAAGGATTGAGATAAAAATTCTCTGACTTTTTGCTAACCAAATTTCTGCTTTTAAGACACAAATTTTTACACTAAAAAAATGGAAGGTGTAGAATGTTAAAGAAATTTAAAGACATTCGTGTTAAAACATTTTAATTCTTCTGATCATAAACTTTTTGTCTTTGTAACCGTAATATTAAACACTTTTAAATTAAAACTGTTCTTGAAGACAATTTGTCAAGATAAATTTATAAATGATTAATTAATCATTTATAAACTTTCTAATTTTCAACAAAAAAATTAGACATTTACAAAAAGAGGAATTTTTTTCCTCAAAAAGGGGACAAAAAATATACCAAACAACAAATTAAAATGTGTTAAAGTTATATTATCAATGTATTAATACTGAATGTATTTCATTATGAATATAACAAAGATTAATTTTTAAGAAAAAATAATAATTAAAACATTCAAAAATTTATTTGTTTATACAACTTGCATATATATTTTCCCTAACCCTAAAGAATATTCTGATTCACTCAAAAAATGATTGGATACTCAAAAAAATGTTCTATACTATATTACATTTATTTTCTAATTTCTTTAATTGTAAAATTATTCGAAAACATCATTAGTTTTATTTCAAACAAATATTTAATCATTAGGGGAAAGTGGTCCTAAGTTGGCCACCTAAGCAAATTGGTCGAAAATAGTAACAAAATGAAATTTAATCCCCTCGGCAAGTATATATTATATAGTGTTCAGTGATCGTTTTGCTCTAATTTTGTGGTATTTAGAACGTTATAGAATGGCTTTTGTAGTCTTAATACAATAAATAGTGAAAAGCTGCATTTTGGACATTTCAGAAACAGCGGTCCTAAGTTGGCCACCACTTTTTTTCGCTTGTGTATAAGGTAGAAATGCATATTCTTTTCAATTACGCAGAAATTGAACAAATGGAGACAGGCGTTTTTGTACCATGTCTTTTCTAATGTTTTTTAAACCATTTTTTGTTTTTTGCCTTTGTTTAACTCCTACGTTACACTTTTACGGTCTTTCTCGTGATGAAAAACACAAAAAAGAAGTAAAACATAAATAAAAACAAACAAAAACATTAGGTGGCCAACTTAGGACCACTGTAGATTTTTACAAGTTTCAAATTATTACGCTAATAAAAAAAATTTAATTAAAAAATCAACAGAACCTCTTATTACAACATTAAATAAAGGAACTAGCGCACACACTCATTTAGAAATTTTTAATTATTTATCTCTTGTAGCTGCTCTCGAAAAAACAAGAAAAATAAAATTTTTTTGGTCGTAAACAATATTATTGTCCTCACAATGCGTAGAAGAATCTTAGATTATAATTAGGTCCATAAATTATATTATGGTTTATCAATATATCATACCACAAAATTATAGATTCGTCCAGTATACTGGGTGGCCGACTTAGGACCACGCTCTCCTACTAGTTTTCCACAACAATTAAGATTTTCAAAAATTTCAAATTCAAATCTTCTTGAAATTCAATAACATAGAAGAATATTATATAATATTCGACTCAAAGTGGTCGAGTGGTTTTATAATGATTAAAGATGACCTAGTGATAAGATCATTATTTTGTACTATAAGAATATTTTTACTGTAACTTCTTCAAAATTATTTTCATCATTTCAGTTCAATTATTATTTTCTAGAATTTTTAACTAAAATTCTTCTTTAAATCAATTATTCTTAATAATTTTTTAAAGTTTCTTGAGAATTTTCAAATCCATTTGCTTTCAAGTCAATTTTAAGAAATTTCAATTACCTATTCAGAAATTCTTCAATTAAATATCTATGTATTAGATAAAATAAAAATTTCAAATAATTTTTAAAAATTCAATTAAACTTTCTCAAAAGAACTAATTCTACAGAATTGTTAGTTAAAACTATGAAAAATTCATATTAACAAAGATTATCTTTTTTACTTTATAAATCCAAAATATCTGACAGATGTCAAACTATAGAAAAAAGGGAAAAAACAAGTAGCTACTTGTTATTTCAAGAAAAAAATCATAATATAAGATCGTATCCTTAAGTGTCCGACTACTAGTACATTTACCCTGTATTAAAAAATTCAACTAATTTCAGAAGAATTTGAATTATCAAAATTTTTCAAAAATCTATGTAAGTTCTTTAAAATTCCTAATTGAGGCTCTGGATCTTAAAAGGGCACTTTCAGCATTAATTTTAAATGGTAAAAGTGCCCTTCTAAGATCCCGAGCCTCAATTAAATTCATTTAAAATTGAGATTTTATATAAAATTTAAAATTGAAACCGTTTCAAGTTCATGTATTTATGAGAATTGTAAACGAAACTCTTTTAAAATTCAACAATTTTGAAACATTTAAGTAAAATTATTCACTAAATAATTTCTAAATAATAATTTTACAATAGTTCTTCAAAAATTAAGTTATTTAAAAAGAAATTATTGTCAAAAATAGAAAAAGTTGAAGGTGTTTATTAGAATTCATAGTAATTTCATAGTTTATAAGACAAACAAAAAAGACACCAAAATTCAGTATTTTCTTATGAATTTTTCTTGGAATAAACTATTAATAATATTTTAATTATTTGAAGGTAATTAATTATTTTTCTAGAGGTCTGCATTCTGTTGAATGAACCACCTTATAATTTATGAAATTCTTTACGTTATATTATTTAACTCATAAACATGAAAAACCATATTTATATTATGTTGTAGTGTTAATAATCTAAATAAAAAATAAAGCGCACTGAATTACACTTTGCAAAAGATTTCAGAAAAAGAAAAAGGGGACTATCTGTGATGCCTGCGACTGTTGAAATTATTAAAATTTTAGTTATAATTAATTTAATTTGAAAGTTATTTATAAGGTTTAGGTTTATAAAATAAATAAATACTCACAAAATCTTGACGGATATCGGAGAAGTCCTTTCCGTATTTATCAAGAGCTTCTTCAAAAAGGTTTGCCTCCGAAGCACTCCATTCTTCCATTTCGTCTCTACATAAAACCGGCCCCGAGCTTGGCACTAATGATGACATGGCCTTTGCAACATCATAATTATGTCGATGAAGTGTGTCCATTGCATGAAACTATACCAGACAGATAACATTTTAATATTTTCTTATCTACGAAAAATTAATTTATTTGATTTAAATTATAAAAATGAATTCAGCATTATTACAACTGTGATAAAAAGAAAATGTCTTTGCTTACTAATGTGATATCCCTGGATGCTGCTGCCGCTGACATGTGCAAAGAGGGTTGTTTCACTGAAGAAGAACAGTCTAGAGCTCTAGCGAAGGTACCTACTGATCGACTGACAACAAGAAACTGATCAATTTGACGATCTGTTAATGAATGACGTGGAGTCCAAATTAAAGTTTCTAAGTCCTGTAGTCTACGAGGATCAACTTCTTTCTCTGCAGGTGTAAGTGATACCGGAGCGATTCCGTCTGCTTGATATCTACTACCCACTCGAATTTCACCTTTAAAGAGCATTTTTGTTATTAATTTATTAGATCTTTTAACAATTTTTTAACTAATAAACTTAATTAGGGTCTTCAAGAACGATAAAACTTTAAAACACTCGTTTATTGATAAAAATATTTATTGTTTAAGATTTAACTTGATACAATCCTAGCTATTATTGGCTTTTATTTCTAGACTCACACGCTCTCGTGCTATTGCATCAATCTCTGCGCTCTTTCTCTCTCACGCCCGCCCTCTACTTCCGTCTCAACAAAACCCCAAAACCATCATTGTATTTCCGTTCCCTTAAGTAATTTCAAATAATGAACACAATTTTTAAACAAATAAACTGATTATAAAAAAGAAATGATTAAAATTTTTAAATATTATAATAAAACCAAATTAAACTCCTATATCCCAAAATAAGAATTTATTAGATTCACTTGAAACTTTGGTAAAATGTTGTCCTAATATACAAGAGTAAAAAATTCGTAAAATATTAGGTAATTTTAAAAAATATAGAAAGAATTAGGAGTTGAACTTTTGAAACTTGAAGTCAGTTTTCAAATTTTCATAATATTGACAAAAGTATAATAAGTGAAAAATCCTTTAAAAAATCCTACATAGAAATTAAAATCCATAAATATAAATAAAGATTTCATCACTCCTCATTAATAAAAAAATATGAAATTTTGTTAGAGTTATGAAGATTTGAATGCCACAGTGCTTTGTTTTGTCGGAAGTTCATAGTTCTGAATAATTCCGTGTGTGGTAACATGTGAGAGTGATTGAGAGAAAAAATGAATTTACTCTCTCGCCAAGAAGATTAGAAAACAGGAGGTGAAACTCGGTTGATTGAAGTGTCTAGAAAAACAGGCCGCTAAAAAGCGCGGTTTTTCGTTTGGGGCTTTGCTCAGTAAACAAATTTGAGTAATCTGCGCATACTACATATATATATATATATATATATATATATATATATATATATATATATATATATATATATATATATATATATATATATAATTTAAATGCCTGTTTTGAAATCTATTTGAACGATTTGAACTTTTGTTTTGATATTTTTATTTGTTTCGCCTTTTAATGCTTTATTTATACAACTTTTTATGAATTCACTACTTTGAAATTAGGTAATAGACACAAATTAGGGTCAGGTCACACCTTCTCATGCAAAACTTATGCATGCAGGTTGCCATGGTAGCGTTCAAGAGTGAGAGAGATAGGAAATTATTCTATCTCTCTCACTCTTAAACGCTACCATGGCAACCTGCATGCATAAGTTTCGCATGCGGAGGTCTGAGCGCTCCCTTATTACCTGATTTGAAAGCAGTAAATTTTCAAAAAGTTGTGAACTTATAGGTTAGGAGCTCCAAATGTCAAATGCATGAAGTAGGATAAAGTCCAACGCACAATAGGTTCGCGAAAGTCGTTCGCGAACGAGACGCATGAGATAGACAAGGACACAAATATATCTCTGTCATTTGCTAACTCATGCTTTGCGTTCGCGAACGACTTTCGCGAACCTATTGTGCTTAGGCCTTAAGGAGACCTCACGCGGCTTAAAAGTCAGCCCACGATTGAGGGGATATAGATCTAATGTATTTTTGTCAAAAGTCTCCTTCCTAACATTTGCGCCTCTTTGGTGAAAATAGTGAACTATTCTCCTACTGTTTTGGAGTTTTAAACGTTATCTGGCAATTTTGAAATGCCAGAAATGTTAAAATTATAAGATAACTAAAAGAAATAAGTGGAAATAAGATGTTATTCATAGTCTTGTAGTAAATAAAAATGAATTTCATAAATACATGCATATATTAGATTACATTAAATAGAAATTAAATAAGATGTTTAATTATTATAGTTGTATCACCGATATCACACCCTGAGAAAAGATATATTCGACTCAGAACCAAATAAACTTTTTATTTGTTTTAAATAAATTTTATTTTATTAAAATAAAATTGTATTTGTCTCAAATATATGTTTTATTTATCTCTGGGTGCAATATTAAATTTTTAAGAAATAATTAAAGTAAATAACTGAATTAATTATATTTAGGAATTATGAGATACAGACTTTGAAAAATAGTAATTTGTATACAATTATAAAAATTGTAAATATAAAAGACGAAATAAATTGTTAGTCAATGTCATATAATTCTCTTTTTACACGTATAGTATTTACAGTTTTAAAATAGTTTTTTACAGTTGTAAAAACAATTTAAATTTATTATAAAAAGTATTAACCAGTACGTACAATTTAAAACTATATTGCAGTCTGATTGCAATTAAACATAAACGCTGTTTTAAAAATATATAACTTAGATATAAATTTGTTTTAATATAAAATAACATTTAATTTATGATCTTACTTTTCTGCATCTATATTACTTTTTTTTTGCAGAAGTTACATTTTCTTTGGTTGTTGTTGCATTTTGTTTTATTTGTTTTTTTTGCAGTGGGTCCTTCCAGAAATTGTTTTCGTATGAATCGCAACAATTATTTTTTGATATATCAAATTTTTGATTAGTAATAGATGATGTTGCTGTTAGTTTTGCAGCTTTCCGGTTGGCTCTGGTTTTTTCCTTAAGATCGTTGTGTATTTTGTTATACTCTTTACACACGAATAGCATTCTCATTGTCAGGTAGAATACAATTAATCGTCTCTCGGCTGTCGATAAACCGGTTGTACTCAGGAGAGGTTTTCTACAGTTTCCCTCTTCTCTGGCGAGAAAACCCATTGACGGGTGGTCCAGGCAAATGCGAGTACTCCTAACCTCAAAAAGTCGTTCTGTAGAAACGCAAAAAGTAGTTGGTATATAAGAGTGTGTGTTCTGACAGTTGGCCTAGCTTCAAGTCATTTAAGAAAAAAAAAAAAAAAATTAATCGTCTCGTCAACAGTATTTCATGTTCTCCACATCCAATAAAATTGATTGGAGAACATGTTTCCAAAGTTTCAGAGACTTTCAAAAGAGTATTCTCCTGAATGTTATTTTCTTTTAGAGTTTTTAAAATTGACATTTCCAAAATAGAAATTAAATCGTATAGCTGAAGAGAGGGGTGTTTTAAATATCCTTTAGATTTTAATTCAATTAATTTATGTATTTCAGGAATCACGTCATTTTCTGATAGAGTTAATGTGTTAACACAATCGTGACATAGAAATGGCTTCTTAGTCACTAAAAATTTAGCGAAACGATTCCTTTTCTGCTGACATACCCTGAGACATAAGTTAATGCATATTCTGAGGCTTCGGATAATGTGTAGTTGTGTTCTAAAAATATTTTTGTCGAATCTTGTAAATAATTTGTACCATTCCCTTTATCTAAAAAAGTATCGATAATACCTTCCCATTGCTCTTTTCGATTTGTGTTGTGTTCAATATCTTTTAAACTCAATAGCGTATCTAAAATTTCGCTCCCTTCAACGTTGCAACCTTTCGGCGGTTTTATTAATGAGTATATTGAAACAAGCTTATACATTTGTATAAACAAAGTAGAATCGGGATGATCATTAGCCCCACAACACTCTCTCATTAAACCAAAGAATCTCTGAAAAAAATCGGTATGTGAAAATATTCTTTTAATCTCTAACTCTAACTAGAGTCGATAAAATTATTTATATAGACACTTTTTTTGAAAATTTTATCTTTATAAAATTGAACGATCTATATTTTTATTTTTTATCAATTTTTATATTCTGTAAAAAATTACAAATTTTGAAGCCCATTTACTTTTATAAAACATATTTTTTGGAAAATCAAAGAATGAAAAATAAATATATGAAAGAAGTTTCAATTTAAGAGGACATCTGTGCATTCTTGAAAATTAGAAAACAAAGGTTTTTTACTTTTTTAAAAATAATTTCTCAGTAGCCTGTATCTAGACAATCCTGTTTATATAAATAAACTTTTTTTAAAATCAATACGCGACAGTGTAAAAATTATCTTAAGGTCATGTTATTTAGTGGTCACGTGCTCCATATACTTTACTATGGGAACACGTGACCACTGAATAACATGACCTTAAAAGTCCGAAAAAATATTGTTGATGAAAAATAATAATTTTTTTTTTAATCAATTTTTAGATCCTCAAATTCTTTTTTTTTAAATCGATTTTTAGATCCTTAAATTCTTTTATAAATATAAATTTTAAACAAATGAACCCTTCTCATGGAGACGTACACAAATAATACCTCAACGCAGTCCTGATTGAGGCGACCTGTCATAACATATTTAAAATTGCATTTATCAACCAAAAATTGACAAATCTCTAAAGCAGCTTGTAATGAAACTTTTAAGCCGTAGCAGCAATTTTCAGTTAAAAATTTTTGATTCGTATCTTTAGCTTTTTTTTCCCAATCCTTAAGATACTCAATGAAGTTTTTAACAATCTGAAATATAAAGTTATTTGTAAACAAATAAATTATTTTCGAATCAAAAATAAAATAATTTTCTATCTATGAAAAAAGTAGAAGCAAATAATTTCTGTAAATCAAGAAAACGATTTTTCTGGGTATAAATTTCAAATCTAAAATTTTTAACAATGTATATTATTTAACCTTCGGAGAACACACCTCTTTTTTAGATCATTTTTTAATGCTCAACCAATTTTGAATTGTTCATCTGATCAACCTAAGAATTTTTTTTTATTTAGTTTAAACTCTGTAAAATAAGTCTGTATATTTTAACACCCTTATAAAAAATACTAAACAATAGATAAAAAGTTTTTTTTTAAAAAAAAGTGGGGTCCGAGGGTTGTCCAGGACGATATGAACTATCAGAATATGTACAGATTTTGAAACAGATTATTAAAAGATATGGGTGATTCTCCGCGTAGCGCACAATTTGGATTTTACTGTTTTTGAAATTTTTTTTTTCAAATTAAGTAAAAGTCGATATAGAATTTTAAAGTTCAATATTCGAGAACGAAATATTTGTGGTGGGCCAGACAAAATAATTATAATTTTCTTTTTTACAATAAACACCCATGTAAAATTGATTACACCATGACGCTCTGATTCGACCATGACGCACAAGAAAAACTAATTTTTTAAGCAAATTATTATCGATTTCAAAATTCTTTTTTTCCACGTCTTTTGTTTTCACTTACTTTATACTACTAAACTTGTATTGAGGTAAAATTTAAATAATTGTTCATTTTATTGCAAATATATTATGATTCGACCATGACGATTCTGTGATTCCCTATGCAACTTTCATGCTTGTAACACATATAAAACAGAAAAATAAATTTTTTTTATTAATTTCTTTTATAGTAATTTACTTAGGAGAGTTTATTAATGCTTTTTATTAATGTTAAGTAATTTTTCGATTTGATTTTTTATGTTAATTAGGCAATTTTACAAAGTGATGATAACAGGGTGGCCACCAAAACTCGTGAATAAAATTCACGTCTATTTCCCGGTTTTTTCAAGGTTTTTAGGAAATTTTCAAGGTTTTTTTGTTGGTTCAAATTTTACTATAGTAATACTGAAAAATACAACTATTTCCACATATTTTATTATTTTTTATTGCCGAATTTTTTATAGGCTTTTCTAACGATTCTGAACAATCAATCGTATATATTTTAAAAAATTCAGGGTGGCCACAAATATTTAATTTTATTTTTCCCTGACTTTTCCCTGATTTCCAGACAAAATTTCCACTTTTTCCCTGACCATAAAGAATATTCTAATTCACACTAAAAATTATTATAGATACTGAAAATAATGTTTTATTAAATTTATTTACAAATTTCTTCAAAAGTAAAATTATTAGAAAACATCAATAGTTTTATTTAAAACAAATATTTAATCATTTTTTTTCATTGGAATTAAGATGTTCAAAAATTTCAAATTCAAACCTTTTTAAAATTCAACAACTTATAAGAATATTATTATAAAACATGAAGATATAAATCACTCGGAGTGATTGATATCTTCAGGTTTTATAAAAATTTTAATTTCCATAAAATTTTTCAGAAAAAAAATTAAATTATTTACAAAAATTATAATCAAAATTCGTTGCAAGAATTCAATTATTTTCATAAATAATAAAATTCTTCACATGGTTTCAATTATTTTTAATAAAATTTTAAATAAATTTGGGGCCGTTCAAAAAATATGTAACGCTATTTTTCGGAAATTTGGACCCTCCCTCCCCCCATGTAACGCAATGTTGTATACATTAGCGCCATTTTTTCTGCTGACCGTTACAAATAGCTTGACCCCCCCCCCCTCCCCCAGAAAGCGTTACGTATTTTTTGAACGGCCCCTTTCTCGAAAAATAAAATTATCTGCAAAAATTTTTTTGCAAGAATTAAATTGGGTACATTTTACAAATAATGAAATTCTTCACTGAAATTCAAAAATTTTCAAAATTTACATTTTTAATAGAAGTTTTCAAAAGAATATAATTATTTAAATAAAATGTAATAAAATTCGTTGCATAAATTCAATTATTTTTACAAGTAATAAAATTTTTCACATGAATTCAATTATTTAAAAAAAAATTGATAAAATTCGTTGTAAGAATTCCATTATTTTCATAAATTATAAAATTTTTCTGAGGATTTCAATTATTTATAATACAATTTAAAGTAAATTCCTAGAAAAATGGAATTATTCTCTTAATTTGTTTGTAAGAATTTAATTACATTTCACGAATATAATGAAATTCTTTGTTGAAATTCAAATATTTTCACAATCTACTTTTTTAATAAAAGTTCTCAAAAGAATTCAATTATTTAAAAGAAATGTAATAAAATTCGATGCAGGAATTCAATTATTTTCATTAATAATAAGATTCTTTACATTATTTCAATTATTAAAAAAAAAATTTGAAAAAATTCATTGCAAGAATTCAATTACTTTTATAAATTAAAAAAATTCTTTGCAGGATTTCAATTATTTGTATTACAATTTTAAGTAAATTCTTCGAAAAATGTCACTATTTTGAAAAATTTTGTTAAAATTCTAAGAAAGAATTCAATTATGTATTTTTAAAAATTCATGCTATAATGCTTTTAATATTCAATTATTATTTAAAATTTTAACTAATATTTATTTTCAAATCAATTTTTATTGCAAAATTCTACAAGAATTCAATTATTTAAATACAAAAAAAAATAGTTTATTAAATAAATGAATGTTTTTCGAAACTAAATTATCATTAAGAATTTTATTAACAAATTTGAATTTTATCGAGAAATTTTAATAAAATTTTCAAGAATAATTAAATTTTTCGAGGAATTCTATTAAAATTGTATTAAAAATAATTGAAATTCTATTATGAGTTTTATTATTCTTGAAAATAATTGAATTTTTGTAAAAAATGTTATTATTATTTATGAGAATTTTTTTAAATTTTTGAACATAATTATTGAATTTCTGCGAAGAATTTTATTACTTTTGAAAATAATTGAATTTCTGCAATCATTTGTAACTTTTCAAAAATTCAATTTTTTCCAGTTACTTAAATAAAAATCCCTGATTTTTCCCTGAATTCCCTGATCAAAAAATAAAATTTTGAAAATGGTCAAAAAAATTTTTTTTTAGTTTTAATAATATATAATACTAAAATTCAAGGTTTTTAAAAAAATTCACGTCCAATTCACGGTTTTTTCAAGGTTTGACAAAATTCACGTCCATTTCAAGGTTTTCAAGGTTTCAAGGTCCGGTGGCCACCCTGTGATACCATGACGCGAAAACGGGGGACAAGAAATATCTACAAAAATATTTAAAAATAAATTTTGTTTTCCATAAGTGTTTTGTTTCTCTCAATTCTACTAATTTAGACAATAAGAAAATGTCAATATTCATTATATTTATTATTATATTTTACTAAAAAAATAACATTTTATATATGAAATGGTAGTGGTGACTTATTACACCATGACGTTTTGGCACCTTAAAACAGATTTTTAAGTAAAATTACAAACTTTTAAATGAAAACGACTATAGACTTTTATTTGTTATCATAGAAATAAGTTATCCACGTTGAATTTATTAGAATATATGAAACTGATTTCTTAAAAAACATGAGGGACATTAAATATTATGGATGATTCTCCGCGTAGCGCACAATTGTGCGCTACGCGGAGAATCATCCATATATTTTTCTGATAACTCACAGTCCATTCTTCGTTGCCAGGTGACATTGCATTTAAAGCTGTACGACTATTCATCGCATTATTTAGTTGGTTTATTCTTTTACAGAAATCTTTTGTTGCTCTGCAATCTTCAAGATCTTGATGACGATTTTCATAAATTTCAAGAGCATCCTGAACACTAAAAAACTGTGAAAAATGTTAAAAATATGTAATACAATTTAAAGAAAAAATACACAGAAAAAAAATTTGATTCAAATAACCGTTTACTTGTCTATTATGAAATAAATATTTACATACTTGAATAAAATATTTTTTTTTCATTTTTTGTTTAATACGATGAAATAAAATACTTAGATCAAGTAAATATTTACTTAGTTTAAATAAATATTTAATGGATATTAGACAAGAAAATTATTTAATTTAAAAATCAAATTTTTTTTCATTAGTTTATTAATAATAAAGAATAATAAATTTAGGTGATAATAACTAAATAAAATATTAATAAATAAAATTTGAACTTTATTATACCTGAAAGGCAAGAGCAACATTCATTTTTTGATAAAATTTAGGATCAATGTGCTCTTTACGTAGTTTGTAATTAACTTTTAATGCATAAGGTTCCTGCTGCAAAATCTCGAGTAAGGCTTACCAATGTTTTTTTGAAATAAATCTATCAGGTGTCTATTAAAATATTTTAAAAATTGGTTTAATTATATATTACACTTCATAAAATTAAAAATATCAAAATCTAAATTACTTACAAATATTTTTTCGAATTTACCAAATTTCGTAATAAAATTTCTTAGAATTTTAATTAAATGTGGGTAATCAGACAGAAACCACAGTCTTCTTTCTGTGCTGCATGGATAGCAAACGCTTATTTTTTTTCTGAAACGCCAAACTTCGTCCACATTGCCCTATTCCAAGCTGCACCATCAGTCACAACTGCGTCAATGAAAAGACCGGATTTTTCTGCAAGTATAATGGCCTCTAATATTATTTTGTGCACAACAGTGCTATTGGCACTACCTTTGCTAAGAAAGCAGCCAATCGTTTGCACAAAATTGCTCTTAAAGGGTTGAAACATTATTTTTAGGGCATGATCGCCGCGAACTGCCTTCTGGTGCTCCGGAGTGAACTGTCCAAGATCAGTAAATTCTTCAATTTTTAAATTTACACGATCAAAGGACAAAGTTTTAGACAATTTAATTTCATCCACAGCCAACATTCCTACAAATCAATTGAATAATGTGACTAATTTATAAAAAAAAATGTTTCAGATCAATTCGCGATTATACATAAAAATTGAAAAAAAAATATTTCGCATTTTTTCAATCATTATTATTCAACATTTTAAAAATAAAAAATAGTAAAAAAAACCTGTTCGACATTCTGCTGGCATAGAAGCAGTTTTCACAGCTAAGCCTTTAAATATGTAATTTTGGAACACGTACGAAGCTTTAATGTTTTTTAAATACCTCCCCAAAGTTGTCGGCGAAGGCAACGTTAAAATTTTATCACGACGAAGCTGACGATATAATTTTTTACTTTTAATTCTCAAAAGTATACATTCATAAATCCACTGTGTAGTATACCGCATACTATGAGTGTTTTTGTATTGTGATGGTTTGAAACAAGCTTCAACAGCAATTTTTTGTTTTTCCGGAAGTTTCTGTAAGATTTGATTTAAAATCTCTTCTTTTGAAGTTGCACATTCCTTGCGAAGTTTTTCCGCATTTCTTTCAATACGCTTAATCTGTAAACATTATTAAGTAATTATTTTTACTCATTATTTTATATAAACAATTATTTCAATTTTATATTTTTTTAATCCAACAGTTTACCTTCCTTTGAAGCGTAGTATATCTTCTTTGAAGTCCAATATATCTATTTCTCATTTTTCTTTTCAAAATTTTTGTTTTACACTCGACTCTTTTTTTCCTTGATTTCTGCTTTAATCTATTTTTTTTTAATTTCTTGCATTCTAAGCAACATTTCGCCTGAGGACCAGGAGTACTTTTTGATTTTGAATATACAAAACCAGTACATTTTTGAGACCTAAAATTAGTATATATCGTAACGAGTGCGAGCAGTTGCCAATTTTTGAAATTGGCAACTGCTAGCACTAGTTACGAACGATATTTTTCATAACAAGGTGCAAAAAAGTGCCCTTTTTAGCACCGCGTTATGAAAAATAATATTTTTTTACTGTAACTTTTTACTGTAATTACAAAAGAACATATATTATATTTTTTAACATACCTGTTACAATCTTTAGAATGACAAGGTAATAATTTAGACGTTAATTCTAGAAGCATCGGAATTTTTTCAACAGTAATTACTTCATGTGGAACTTTTATTTCCCTCCCGTTAATCATTACCTAAAAATATGACGGTTAAATTTATTCTTTTTTTATAAATTGTATTCATTCAGTTAAAAAAAACGCTATGTCTATTTCGCCCGCAAACTGGCGAAATAAGAGCGATGAATTATTTCGCCCGTCACTAAAAATACATAGGTGGGGGACAACGGGCGAAATAAGAGCGATGAATTATTTCGCCCGTCACTAAAAATTCATAACTGGCGAAATAAGAGTGATGAATTATTTCGCCTGTCAGATAATTGTTTCTATAATATAATTGAAAAATATGAAATTTTTAAGGTTAATGACAGAAATGACAGAAGTATGATCAACTGAGGTTAGTAACATGCGCGCCAAATTCAAATAATTATGTATAGCTCATTTTTAAAAAAGGATTTAAAAAGTCGGGTTTTTGATTTATCCACACATTACTTTTATTAAAAACAATTTGTGATCACAAGTATTATATATATCGTGGGTATAAATTAAGGCACATACGGTTTTTTTTATTTAAGTTTTAAAATGGATTCCACATTTCAAACCAATTAAAATTTTTCTAAGTGTTGAAACATATCACACTTAAAGTAAATAAATATTTATCTATTTTCTTCTGTATAAAAATCTGTTAAGTCAATTATTTAAAAAACATTTTAAATAAAATCCATCGTTAAAATGTAACGAAACAAAACATACAAAACGAAACTATAAAACAAAATAAACTATAATAAAAATTATTTAAAAAACGTTTTAAATATAATCATTCGTTAAAAGGTAACGAAACGAAATTTTTAAGTGCCTTTACACTTTTTACAAAACCAATGTTTGGCTTTGGGAATTTTTTTTAAGTCAATGCAGATTTGGTGAAACCATTCTAAACAACAGTCGCATCTGATCGATCCTTGGTTTTTTTATTTTTTTTTTATTAATAAATTGTGATCTGGTTCTTCCTCTATATTAATTTTGCATTTTCCACAAAGCCAAACATTGGTTTCCTTTTTAATGTCGAAGAGCTTGCTTACAGCAAGCCACGCATCATTCGTGAAACATTTTTTCACAATCAAGAAGTTTACCTAATTCAACGGTTTCAGAACTCATTTTTCAATAGCTTTTCACACTTTAGACTTTATTTCAAACCCACGAACACGTCTGTTGTCAGAGAAATCACGGACAGTAATAGAATAATTGAAAATTTTAGAAGATAAAAGTCAATTAAAAGTCAAGGGGGTAAATAATTTATAACCGCGAAAATATGAAATGATATACTTTTATTTCTAAGTTATTACATTAGGTATTTATATGTTTGCATTTAATAAAATAATATTTCCATTCATTTATAACTATGAGATTAACCCTCCTGCGTACCGTGACGAGTATACTCGTCCAAACTAAGTTGTTACCAAATGCGCGAGGACGAGTATACTCGTCCAAATATTTTTTCTCATAACTTTTAAACAAATTAACTTTAACACACGAGACAAAGTGCAAATTACAGTGCAAGGTTCATAGTTAATGATACATACATAATAAAGTCTCTAATTAAAGTATTTGTTAATAAACAAAGTATTAAATATTTGTTATAAACAGTGGAGGATAGGTCACAAAATAAAAGTTGCAAATACATACTTCTCTTAAAAAATTGTTTGATTTCAATGAAACTTGGTATCTCAAAGATTTTTGGGGTTGCTGATTAAGAATCTGAACCCAGATTAAAAAAATTTAAAATGGCGGATCCAATATGGCGGATGAGTTTTTCAAAAATTCATCCGAATTTCTTTAAAATCTATAATCGGGGGTTTTTGAGGTCGCTGATTACGAATCTAAGGTCAGATTTAAAAAATCCAAAATGGCAGATCCAATATGGCGGATGAGTTTTTCAAAAATTTATCCAAATTTCTTGAAAATTTATAATCGGGGTTATTTGAGGTCGCTGATTACGAATCTAAGGTCAGATTAAAAAATCCAAAATGGCGGATCCAATATGGCGGATGAGTCTTTCAAAAATTTATCCAAATTTCTTGAAAATTTATAATCAGGGGTTTTTGAGGTCGCTGATTACGAATCTAAGGTCATATTTAAAAAATCCAAAATGGCGGATCCAATATGGCGGATGAGTTTTTCAAAAATTTATCCAAATTTCTTGAAAATTTATAATCGGGTGTTTTTGAGGTCGCTGATTAAGAATCTAAGGTCAGATTTAAAAAATTAAAAATGGCGGATCCAATATGGCGGATGAATTTTAAAAAAATTGTTTGATTTTAATAAAACTTGGTATCTAGAGGTTTTCGTGGTCGCTGATTACAAATCTGAGGTCAGATTTTCAAAACTCAAAATGGCAGTATAAGAATATTTTATAAATTTAACAATTCTTTAATTGTTTTAACAAATAATTGTTGTTATGTACTAACTTTTTACAAAAAATTTCTAGAAACGTGCAGCTTTTTTCTAATTTTGCAATTAACTAAGCTGTGTAATATTACATGAAGATTTTTCATAAATTTAACGATTCTTTAATTTTTTAAACAAATAATGTTGTTGTTTACTAACTTATTACAAAAAACATCTATAAGTATGCAATTTTTTTAAATTTTGAAGTTAACTAAGCTGAATAATATATCTCCAATTTTGCAATTAACAAACATGAATCTTACAATAATACTGATCTTGTTAACTTTTAAAATTTGGAAAAAGCATGTTTCTAAGTCTTTTGTGCAAGGAGTTAATCAATATCTATAATTATTTGTTTAAATATGTGTTAAATTGTTATATTCATAAAACATCATTATGTAGTACTACTCAACTTAGGAAGTCTAAAAAATGCACATTGTTTCATATAACAGAGACGTAGTTTATGAAGGACTCGTAAAATACCAATATATCTAAAACAAATCTAAAAAATTTCTAAAACTGGCGGCCATATTGGCTCTGATCTTCTGTATTTTTAAAATCTGATCTCAGCTTCGTAATTTGTGACCTCTATAAACCCTAGACACCAAGTTTCATTAAATATTTTTAATAAAATCAAACAATTTTTTAAAAATTCGTCCGCCATATTGGATCCGCCATTTTGAATTTTCCTAATTTGATCTTAGATTCGTAATCAGCGACCTCAAAAACCCCCGATTATAAATTTTCAAGAAATTTTGATGAATTTTTTAAAAACTCATCCGCCATATTGGATCCGCCATTTTGAATTTTTTAAATCTGACCTCAGATTCGTAATCAACGACCCCAAAAACCCCTAGGTACCAAATTGTAGAAAAATCCAACAGTGTGAAAAATTTGTGCATTTGGAAACAATTTTATGGGTGAAAATAGGTACGCAGGAGGGTTAAAAAAATGATATTCATAACAAAATATTATGTTACCTAGCATATAATTATTATAAAAAGCTGAATGTAAAAAATATACATACCTTAATTTATGCCCACGATATATATAATACTTGTGATCACAAATTGTTTTTAATAAAAGTAATGTGTGGATAAATCAAAAACCCGACTTTTTAAATCCTTTTTTAAAAATGAGCTATACATAATTATTTGAATTTGGCGCGCATGTTACTAACCTCAGTTGATCATACTTCTGTCATTTCTGTCATTAACCTTAAAAATTTCATATTTTTCAATTATATTATAGAAACAATTATCTGACAGGCGAAATAATTCATCACTCTTATTTCGCCCGTTGTCCCCCACCTATGTATTTTTAGTGACGGGCGAAATAATTCATCGCTCTTATTTCGCCCGTTGTCCCCCACCTATGTATTTTTAGTGACGGGCGAAATAATTCATCGCTCTTATTTCGCCCGTTGTCCCCCACCTATGTATTTTTAGTGACGGGCGAAATAATTCATCGCTCTTATTTCGCCCGTTGTCCCCCACCTATGTATTTTTAGTGACGGGCGAAATAATTCATCGCTCTTATTTCGCCAGTTTGCGGGCGAAATAGACACAGCGTAAAAAAAAAGTTACCTGCACTCTCATATCTGATGATAAAATTACTCTTTTCATGCTGTAATTGTTATCATCATACATTTCTAAAAATGCAATATACTTTTGTGAAGTAGTAATTATTGACCAAAATTTGGATGGCAATGGAATTTTATTTGAATTTTCTTTAATTATGCTAAAGCTTTTTTCCTTGTTTCTATTACATTCAAATACTAGGTCATCCCACTTATTTATTCTAATGTCAGTAGAAAAAAATATTGGTATCGCATTTCTTTTTAGTACCGGTTTTTGTCGAGGTATTTGGTTGATGGTACCATCTTTTAATTTTATACTGAAATATTTTTCAATATCTTCAGATTTAAAATGTAGTTCACAAATTTTTTTAGTTTTTAAAAATGGTTTTGTGATGTATGGTGACACAGCATCAGATCAAATACGCACTTCATCCTAGAAAAAAATTTTTAAAAAATGTGTATAAATTTATATATGTATATGTATATTTGTATTTCTGCATCACAATTATAAATTATTTCATTACATAGGATTAAATTACTTTTGTACAACAGTTGAAACTTTCCTCTTTCAATGTTAATAGTAAATGTAAACAAAAATACTTACAATTAAATTTCTTAACTGTGAATGTTTTTTGAATCAATTATAAATATAATTTACAAAAATTATTATTCTTATATTTAAATATGATTTTTAAATATTTATAAATAATAAAATAGTTAAATTTTTATTTTACTTATTTTAATATAATTAAAATAAAAATATTTAAAAAATTATTTTTATTATGTCAAAAAGAATTCTGTTCACATAAGTTTCTTACAAACATTCAAACCATACATTTTAAAAGCACTGTTAGTAATTCAGATATATTTATTAAATAATATTTACTTACCGTTCTTGGAGAAAAAAACTCAAAAAGTTTCCTTTTCGTCGCTCTAAGCGACTACCGGAATTGCAGCCTTTTATGCAACAAAATGTTGGCATTTTTTCGGCAGTGGCCAATTTCAAACTTTATTAATATCGCACAAAAATACAAAACACAATAACATATTAAAAACACAACTTACTCTGCGACATCAATAACTAAACAGAAATCTACATTTATTTCGAAAATTCAAATCGCAATTAGCAGTATGCATTTTCACTGGGCTGCTTTTAGCGCTACGAACTATGGGCGTGAGGTCTCCTTATCCTACTTCGTGGTCAAATGTATGTAAACAGCAACATCTGTTTATTTCCTACGTTTACTATTGGCTCATTACTAAAGTCCCAAATGTAAAAACACGCCTACCATGAGCCTGTTAGGGTGCAATCCCATGGCACCGTTTTACGTTGCGTTTTGTAATTAGGCTATAAGTGTGAGAGAGATGGAGACATATGTTCGCTCTAATTGCAGTCAAGGCCTAGTTACAAAACGCAACGCAAAACGCTGCCATGGGACTGCACCCATAGCTATTCCACTGCTCACTACGGAAAAATCACTAAGGGAGCGTTCAGACCTTCTCATGCAAAACTTATGCATGCAGGTTGCCATAGTAGCGTTCAAGAGTGAGAGAGATAGAATAATTTCCTATCTCTCTCACTCTTGAACGCTACCATGGCAACATGCATGCATGAGTTTTGCATGAGATCGTGTGACTGTACCCTAAGTTTCACCTCCTGTTTCTAGTCTTCTTGTCTCTCGCTCACTCTCAAATCATACTATGACTCCACTGAAAATAGCACCATACACGGAATGTTTCAGAACTATAAATTCCCAACATGAAATTCACCTTCCCCTCTCTATTTATAATATTCTTCTTCTGCTTCCTTTTTAATGGTTTTCTGGTTATAGTACAGTGACAAAATGAATTATTTATAATTAGCAGGGTTGGGAACGTAATATACCTCAGGTAAATTACATGAGTTGTTTACGTATATTACATATATTTATATTACGTCCCAAAAATTGAAAGCCATGCATTTTTTCATGGTGGGGGGTAATATACGTATTTTACTTAAACGTAAATTACCTGTAATCTACATAGAGTTATAGAAATAGAATAATTTCATAGAATAGAGTGCGCAAGAGACCAAAATGTTTCTTAGGCGCATAGACGAAGACAGACATACGAAAAGTAGACCCCTTTTCATTCCTTCTCTAATAACGCATGCGCGATAGTGAAACAGCTGATGCATCGAAACGACTGTTGCTTGCTTGCTGGCAATTATATTTTTCTTTTATTTGCATGACAAATAAATAATTTAAAAACATTTTTAGCAGGAAAAATTTTATTTTATGTTAAGTTTACCTGCTTTAAATTTATACTCATCGAAATAAGCAGCTCAAAATTAAAAATTCTAATTACTACTATAATATTATCAATACGACATCCAAACTAGAATCAAAAGTTGCCTCTTAGGGTGAAGTCCCATGGCAGCGTTTTGCGTTTGCGTTTTGTAACTAGGCCATGAGTGCAAATATAGCAAACATATATCTCCATCTCTCTCATACTCATGGCCTAGTTACAAAACGCAACGCAAAACGGTGCCATGGGACTCCACCCTTAGGCCGCAGTCCCATGGAAGCGTTTTGCGTTGCGTTTTGTAACTAGGCCATGAGTGCAAATATAGCAAACATATATCTCCATCTCTCTCACACTCATTGCCTAGTTACAAAACGCAACGCAAAACGCAGCCATGGGACTTCAGGCTGGAGTCCCATGATAGCGTTTTGCGTTACGTTTTGTAACCAGGCCATGAGTGTGAGAGAGATACAGATATATGTTTGCTCTATTTGCACTCATGGCCTAGTTACAAAACGCAACGCAAAACGCTACCATGGGACTCCAGCCTCAGCCTTAGGCTGGAGTCCCATGGTAGCGTTTTGCGTTGCGTTTTGTAACTAGACAATGAGTGCAAATAGAGCAAACATATATCTCTATCTCTCTCACACTCATTGCCTAGTTACAAAACGCAACGCAAAACGCTGCCATGGGAATTCAGCCTTAGGGAGCGTTCAGACCTTCTCATGCAAAACTTATGCATGCAGGTTGCCATAGTAGCGTTCAAGAGTGAGAGAGATAGAATAATTTCCTATCTAGGGTTGCCACCTCATCGCGGCTCTCGGCCCGGAGAATTTTTCTTGACTATAAGATGTAAATGCTCCCTAAAGCTTCTACCATACAATAAAGAATATGGAGAATAGTTACTAATTCAGTCATGATGTGTTATTGTTTCAATACTTAAAATTAAAAGTTTTATTTTAAATAACCGAAGACCGGAAGAATTTACTTGCGGCCCGGAGATCTACTTCGCAGCCCGGAGTCTCCGGGCGAAGCCCGAAGAGGTGGCAACTCTATTCCTATCTCTCTCACTCTTGAACGCTACCATAGCAACATGCATGCATAAGTTTTGCATGAGATCGTGTGACTGTACCCTTAATTTAAAATAAAAGCCAAATAGCTTTTCTTTAACATGACTTTTAAATTCTACTTTACTCTATTTATTGTAAAATATTTATTTTACATTTAATTTTATAATATTTAAAACGATTTTTCAAAAATCTAACCAAAAACTTTCATTCATGCACATGCGCCATTAAACAAGGTAAGATAAGGGGTCTACTTTCATCCTTTTGTTTCTTTCTATGCGCCTAAGAATGCCTCTCACGGTAAGGGTACAGTCACACGATCAATGCATCTGCATGATGCATGCATGCACAAACATTTGACTGTTCACACCTCAATTTTTCGCTCTCGAAAAATCATTTTTCTGGCGAGATATTTAAAATTGATTAAAATTTAAAAATAACGTATTACTAATTATTACAATAAAAAATAAAAAAAATTGAACGTTTATTATAAGGAATTAATTGTAAATAAATTTCTCTTAATTTGTGGCATATTTTAATATTGTGAAATTTTATAATTTAAAATATGCCACTAATTAAGAGAAATTTATTTACAATTAATTCCTTATAATAAACGTTCAATTTTTTTTATTTTTTATTGTAATAATTAGTAATACGTTATTTTTAAATTTTAATCAATTTTAAATATCCCGCCAGAAAAATGATTTTCGAGAGCGAAAAATTGAGGTGTGAACAGTCAAATGTTTGTGCATGCATGCATCATGCAGATGCATTGATCGTGTGACTGTACCCTAAAAGGAATAACTCGCGCACTCTATTCTAATAAGGGTGCAGTCCCATGCTGAGCAGAAAACAGAATGCAAAGCAGAATTTCGTGAGTGCAAGAGAGATAGTCAGATATCACTATCCTTTCCACTCTCACGAAATTCTGCTTTGCATTGTGTTTTCTGCTCAACATGGGACCGTACCCTAAGGCTGGAGTCCCATGGCAGCGTTTTGCGTTGCGTTTTGTAACTAGGTTATGAGTGCAAATATAGCAAACATATATCTTCATCTCTCTCACACTCATGGCCTAGTTACAAAACGCAACGCAAAACGCTGCCATGGGACTCCAGCCTAACTCTGTGGTAATCTACGTCAGAAACTAAAAATGATGTAAAGTTAAAGCGGTTGCATACCTCACCGATTCTGAGTTTGTCCCCGTCGTACAAGCAGTTTTCCAAGATGGAATGAGTTTTCAAACCAAGAAAACCAAGTTAGAAAATTGTTTGCATGGCGGGATAATTTAAAAATATAAGTAATGATCAGTGATTAGTGAAAGATGTGTAATAGTAGAATGTGAATAAATAGTAGGGTGATGTGGGGTGATGTGCAACGTTTTTTTTCGTTGGACGAAAAACATGTCAAGTAATTAAATTTTTAAATATTTCAAAATTGAATGACTTAGAGGCATTATAATAGAATATTTATGCATTATTAGATTTTCAGAACTTTAAATTTTTCCTACAAATTTTTCGCTTTTTCAAAAACGTCTGTTTTGGCATTTTCCAAAAAAGTTGGGGTGATGTGCAACACCAGTAAAATTCAGGTATGTAATGCATAAATATCGATGAAAATCTCTTTAATTATTAATTTTAGGCTTTTTTAATGCAAACTAATCGAAATCTGCCAAAAAAAATTTACTGAGGTATAGTTGACCTCTAAAAAGTGGAGATTTCACCAAAGAAAAAAAAATTTTTTTTGTTTAATTTTTTATTTATTCATAACTGAATAAGGAATATAATTAAAGGAAAATAACTAATCATTTTTTATTTATCATGTGAATCGCAGTTATGGCACGTAAAAAGTAGTTACGTCCAGCCCAAAAAAAAGTGTTGCATATCACCCCAAATATGATATTTTGCGAAAAATGATTTGTACGCAATACAATGCAATGGAAACACAAAATATAAACAGATATTCAAAAACACTTAAAAAACTAACAATAAACACATTCTTATCTACAAAATAAATTAAAACCCTTCACGAAACGACTAGAAATGTAAAGCGCGAGAAATATTTCCTTCTCGAGAAATTTAAGTCAACTTACGTACAGCAAACCTAGCTGCGAGCTGTCTCGTGAGTTTTATATAAAAAACAAGCTACTGAGGACACCCTATATTAAGCAACAAGAGGGTAAAGGCAGCCATTTATTTACGGTGATTTTTGTGACACGAGTCACTTGTTCGAC